ACTTACTCGACGTCACTACACCTGGCAAGTAAATGAACTTACGTCTTGATCAAGAAACTATCGACTATAACAGAACTCCTTGCAAAGGGACGGAAAGAAAAAATAGCAATAGAACAAAATAGCAGGAGACCAAAGATAAGGTTACAGGTTAGGTTTAAGGATTTTGTAGCATGTAGCATTAGTAGGTTAAGGATTATTTATTAAGGATAATTTTAGGATTAGTATTTTAAGGCACGATTAGCATTTTAGTATGTAAGGCACCAGTGTGATGGAATGAGAGAGGGCGAAAATGGTTAGAAGATAACAAAGTCCATTTCTTGGTTAGAAAGCTGGAATAAATATTCAGGGTATCCCAAAAATTTTAGAGGTCCTTGAAAGGGCTGGTGATTTGAAACAATGTTTTCCTTAGCGAAAATGTTGTCCGAGGCTTCGTTAAGGAGATATTAACAGAAAACCCCCCGACCAATCAGAGCGCGAGTACGCCGATGGAGCGTCCGCAGTGGCGTAGGCTCCGCGCTCTGATTGGTCGGGGTTTTCTGTTAATATCTCCTTAACGAAGCCTCGGACAATATTTTCGCTAAGGAAAAAGTTGTTTCAAATCACCTCCCGAACCACCAACATTTTTGGGACATCCTGTATATCTATCTAATACAACTCTAATACTCCTCGAGTTTTCCAGAGAAGACAAACAGATCATTAAACGTAGCAGTAAAGGTTGCGCCCTCCATCGTTCGATCCTCCCGGCAAACAAAGATTTGCGCTCCAATTTGTTCATGTTCTTACATTTCACTTAATTCTAATCGGATCAGTGCCAGCCGACGGGATCCTCGTGGAGAAATAATATCAGGACACTCGTTGTATTCGCAGAGGACCACGCCAAGGGTCTGAGCACGTTCACTATAATGGCGGGCTTAGGAGGCTTTATGGGATACGGATTGGGCGGCATTAACTGGGACGCCACGGCGATAGGAGTCATGCTGGGCGGACATCTCCACGCGACGTTCACTTTAATTACCATCATCTTCATCATCTGCGTGTTTTGCACCATCACCAGCTTCAAGGAGATACCTCTGGAGCTGCTGGAGAGAGACGAGTACCAGCAGTTGCACGAGCAAATGGTTGGTTGTTAATATTCGCGGTTCACACGAAGCGTAATTCTTATAGAGACAATTGTATACAATTTATATATATTGGGCTGTCTGGAAAGTCCATGCCGATTTTTAGTAGGCGGTACAGGTCTGAATATGTCGGAATGGTTGAAAACAAATATCATGTGTACATTCCTTAAAAGGTGCAAAGGTTGTGGAACAAAATGGTACATATATAATTCAATAAATATCCATCAATATTCAAATATGCCTTTGAATTTTTCTTTAAAATAGGCATGAACTTTCCGGACAACCCAATAGCATTTAAGAAGTGTATACACAAATTTGAAAATGGTCATTTGACGTGGTAGATTTTGTGTATTAACACTTTACCGACCGATAGCCTATTACTCGGCATTTGGTCTCCGACGTTTACCGACCGATAGTCTATTAATCAGCATTCTATCGCCAATGCTTACCGACTGATAACCTATTACTCGGCATTTGGTCTCCGACGCTTACCGACCGATAGTCTATTAATCAGCATTCTATCGCCAATGCTTACCGACTGATAACCTATTACTCGGCATTTGGTCTCCGACGTTTACCGACCGATAGTCTATTAATCAGCATTCTATCGCCAATGCTTACCGACTGATAGCCTATTACTCGGCATTTGGTCTCCGACGCTTACCGACCGATAGTCTATTAATCACCTTTCTATCGCCAATGCTTACCGACCGATAGTCTATTACTCGGCATTTTGTCTCCGACGCTTACCGACCGAGAGCTTATTAACGTTACGAAGTATCATCGTTTCCAACTTCGTTTTAGTTAGCCAACGAGGGCAAGGAGGACGAGCAGAAGGAGCACGATAAAATAACAACGGATGAGTCCGTGTCTTATGGGACCCTGGACAACGAACAAGATGTCGCCACGAAGAAGGACGTGAGTGATCATTGAAAAACTACAGTTATCCATTTTGTAGAGTACTTGTAACGTTAACCGTTCCCTAGGAATTCGTCCTGAAGCCCCTTCCAGTGAAGGAACCCGAGAGAAGACCCGGCCAAGTGCCCATGATACCGGATGTCACAGCTCGCGAGAACTATGGCGACAAGCCCGGCCTCGAGGAGAGCGGCGAGAATTCTAAGGTTACTTTGCAGGAATATCTTCTTTCCATCGTGTACATGCCTCACAGCCTGCGCATGGTGTGCCTGACGAACCTCTTCTGCTGGATGGCTCACGTCTGCTACTCACTGTACTTCACGGATTTCGTCGGGGAGGCCGTTTATGGCGGCAATCCGCAGGCGAGAAACCCTTTCCGTGTTACTATGTATCCACCAGTCCCTGGCCACCGTATTAGAACCACTATTTCAAGCATTTCCCGCGTTTTCCGTAAAATTAAAAGGCTTGTCGAAATTGTACTGATATAATTTAGTCGCTACTAATGTAATACACTACTACTGTACATAATATTGTATTTCCACTCTTTGCTTCAATGGCAGCTTGTACCGTTTCCGGCTTCGCATACATTGTTTGATCATATGCTTTATACAGCAAGGACTGGATAAATGCAAGAAAATCGAGACCCAGTTTATTGCATTTATGCAGTAGAGGTTTCTATTCTGTGTTCACATTTGGCTCGAGTCGAAAAGGACAGAGAGTGAAAGAGGAAGAGGTCCTACGGAAAAAAGCAATCGGTTAGGATCATATTACACTGCTCGCTCGCCGAGTGTCAAGGGGGACCCCCTAGTAGCGGTGATAGCCATCACCACCACCATCTTGCATTTATCCAGTCTTTACTGTATCTCCATCATTTTCCCAGATATCTGTAATTTTTGTTTTCGATTGTGACAATGTGGTGCTTGGAGATTCATAAAGGCTCCAATTTGATTATTACCGCGATAGTAACAAATCAATTGTTATGTACAGGGTGTTCAAAAAACACCATTCAATATTTATATGGCGTATAGGGCACACTGTACCGAGTAAAAAAGCTTTAGTAAACATAGGTCCATAGGTCAAAAATTTCTGAGATATAAACATTTTTGTTTGCTAGTATCATGATTGACTTACTTGCTTCCATCGAATGCGATGTTTATGTCAGTGTTTATAAATTGCGTTCTGAATGTTCCCATTCAACTGCCGACAATTTCGTCAATTTCATTTTTCTCAATCTCGTGTACAGAAATGAGCAGTGAACACGTGGAAAATCTTCTACAAATATCGAAAACCCAGTAGTAAGCCAATCACGATACTAGCAAACAAAAATGTTTATATCTCAGAAACGGTTGACCTTTGGACCTATGTTTACTAAAGCTTTTTTACTCGGTACAGTGTGCCCTATACGCCATATAAATATTGAATGCTTTTTTGAACACCCTGTATATGTACATCATCATCAACGTATTCAGTAATAATTTGAACGACACGAGACAATTTTCCATACACGACGTACCGTTAGGCCACCTGAATAGGCGTAAAAAGTGAAATTTTCGTACGTTGTCCTAATTCGATAGCCAGGGACTGTATATTTAACAATAGAACCCTTTTCTCAAAATCTTTTCACCGCAGGCTCCGGACGGCAGCAAAGAACGAGAATTATACGAAAGCGGCGTCCGTTTTGGCTGTTGGGGAATGTCCATGTACTCGCTTTCGTGTTCGTGTTACTCGCTGGTCATCGAGAAGCTGATAGAACGCTACAAGTAATCTGCCATATCGTTTTCGAGTTTCTATCGTGTTCATCGAGCTTCATGAAACGTTTTTCGTTTTGACAGAGCTCGAAGGGTTTACATTTGCGGCCTGCTGTTCTACAGCACCGGTATGATGATGATGGCGCTAACCAAACATCCCGTGGGAGTGATCATATTCTCCTGGACTGCGGGAGTCATGTACTCGACGTTATTCACTATGCCGTACTTGCTGGTTGCACATTATCACGCTTCGTCAACGGTGAGTAATATTTTCTATTGTCTCCTTCCTCGCGAATCGCTCCTCGAGATTAAAAAGTACCCTATACTTCTGCTAATAAATAATATAAATTATTCTTAATTATCTTCAGTATTTCAATAAAAGCTTCTCTATAAAAGCTCGTTAGAAAACGAGCTTGGCTACGTCCTCCCGTTAGTAGCTCTGTATGAAATGAGACAGAGTTCCCAAGGGAGCACTCGACTCGCTCGCATCGTGTCTCACTCGTTCTAATAATTATCGTCGTCGGGGACGATCGTTTCGTCGGCGACAATGGTCGACGTAACTTTCGAGACGAATCGCAAGGCTTTTACGAACAATTAAACGAAACGCGAGCTGTAACGGTATACTGCTTGGTACGGTTCAGGAATGTCTGAAGCGATTCTCTTGATCCGACTAAATGCAAATAACACGCGTTCTTGCACTCGATAGAAAAATATTTCTTTCGCGAATCGAACATTTGTAATATTTGCATTTTAAATAGAAAAAGATGTTTCCAATATAATTTAGTATAGCAACGCGCGTGCGTGCGTGCGTGCGTGCGTGCGTGTGTGTGTGTGTGAAATGTGCGTGTATTAAATTAGTTGACTTTATAGTTCGAGGTGACAGCCGAGGGAGAAGCCATTCAAAGCGAAGGAGTGCGCGGCCTTGGGACCGACGTTGCCATCGTTTCCTCCATGGTCTTCCTGGCTCAATTCTTGCTGTCGTGTTGTTTAGGCACGATCGTTAGTCACGCAGGAACCACCACGGCGGTGGTGTGCGTGGCGAGCACCCTAGCAGCTTGCGGAGCCATTTCTGCGACGCAGGTCATGTATCTGGATCTCTGAACTCGATTCGGATAAGAGAGACACACAGCTCAACGGTAATCTTGTTTGTTCTTCCCCTCGACGTCGATGTATAGTTGGTGGAAGAAACGCGACGTGATATTTCAGGTTATGTCGAGAAATAAGTTTGTTAACCCATTGTCTACCAATGTTCTATTTAGAAACACCATACAGAGAAAACATATGATAATACTTTCTTGATAGTATTTAAATTTCGATTTCGTTTTACAATGTTCACGCAAACAAATTGAATTACTTTATAATTTCAATCAGTCTTTTGGTTTATAACCAGTCTACGAATTTAACTTAATATCGTATTTTATGACTCATTCGTGAAAACAAGTGCTTATTCGTGTAATAAGAATACCGTGTTAACGATGCACAAATAATGGCGCCATGTATTTATAACACGCCGTGAAGTTGCAAACTTTGTGTCGTCAAAGGAAACTTGTAAATAAATGTACCTTGTATAAACGCAATAGAATCCATAGATAGTACGCAGACGCGTATGTATATTTTAGTATAAAACAGATCAATTGTTCCACTGCCTGTTGCAAACCGAAATGGCGGCTGCGACATCCCTGAAGATCAGTCGACTTAAGTCCAGGATGTACCTCCTAACGTATTCGTCCGCAACAAGACCCTATCAAATTTTTCATGAGATCTATAATTAAATGGCGATCGAATGGTTGCGATTCTCGTACTTTTACTATCTCGTATTCTCCGTTCTTACAAAACACAGGATACGAGAAAAATATTCCCGCTCGAATATCGTAAGAGTGGTCAGACAATACCCCCATGCACGTCCACTCATTTTCAGGTGTACCGTTCCACAGGAATTTACAATGGTCAGCTAATCCACACGCCATCGATCTGATGTACCTGGGTCTGTTGGCGACCTTACGCATAATCTAAAATCAAAAAGAATATAAAAATTAAAGAGAGAGTGTACGAAAAGCTCTGGAGGTTATAAGGGACGCGACACTAGCGC